ATGATGATGAAATAAAGAATATAGTTTTGTCTGAAGAAGAAGTTAAAATAAAGACACAAGTATGGATGGATATGAATCACGAATACTTGAAAGAAGTTGAAGGTGTTAATATAATCCAATTTTTTTGAATATATTTTTTATATTTTTATGTTAATTTTTATGTTTCTTAAATAACTTGCACAAAATAGCAAAAAGGAAAAAACAAGAAATAGATCGTGCAAATGGTATTGGAGTTCGTAGAGTATGTAGAATTTGTTTATTTTTAGTTTAATAATATGGTGAATTGTTTTAATATGATAAATTCCTTTAATTATTGAATAGCATAAACGACCAAGAAAAGGTAAAAGTGATGATCAGACAGTTGCCAGTACTCCAGCTGAAGCGGCAAGAAGATTATTTGAAGAAAGAAATCTTTCAAAGAAGATAAATTTTAAGATTTTGGATTCACTTTTTGATAACATAGCAGGAGGGAGTATACCAAATACACCTACTTCATGGCGGGATTATGATCCTACTAGTGTTAGTGGCTCCGGAATTGCACGTAGTGGTACCCCAGCTAGTTCTAGATGGGAAGATGATGAGGAATTTGGCGATTATTATGATAATAGCTATGACAATAATTATGACAATAATTATGACAATAATTATGACAATAATTATGACCTTAATTATGACCATAATTATGATCATAATTATGAACATAATGATTACTACACTAATGATGATTATTATGACGAAGGACAAAGTTATTTGTAACATGTTACAAAACAACCTCAGAAAATTTGTCCGGAACCAATGAATTTTATTAAATAATGACAAGACTAGTCAGTGCCCCATGCACTTTGTGCGCCCTATTATAAAATTGCTAATCTCGAAATTTTGACTAGGTAACCCTGTCGCGTAACATAAGCAAAAATGTTCCTCTCGCAATTTTACCTTACCCTAATTCTATGAATAAAATTTGCCTTAAAAACGATACTCGAATGTATTACATAATCTCTACAGAGTAAAAAAAAAAAAAAAAAAAAGAA